AAAGGCCAAGTTTCAGTATATGATTACAACCAAGTTATTTTTAAATGGCCTTGGAGTTAATTTTGCGATGTTATTTAATTTGTAAACTATCATTAGGGTACTAGGAGTAAGGATTTATCTTAACAGGATTTAAAATGTATGAGATAGGCCCTTAGGTTGTTTACAGTGCTTGGTTCTTGTAAATTGTGCTGTTATGAACATTGGGGTGCATAAGTTCTTTTGAATTGGTGTTTTGGGATTCTTAGGGTATAATCCCAGCAATGGAATCGATGGGTCAAAAGACAGTTCCATTTTTAGTTGTTTGAGGAAACTCCATACTGTTTTCCACAGTGGCTACACCAGTCTGCATTCCCACTAACAGGTACTAGTGTTCCCTTTTCTCCACAGCCTCGCCAGCACTTGTTTGTTGATTTGATTATGATGGCCATTCTGATTGGTGTGAGGTGATATCTCATTGTGGTTTTAATTTGCATTTCTCTGATGGCTAGTGATGCTGAGCATCCTTTCATATGCCTCTGAGCCCTGTGTATGTCCTCCTTGGAGAAGTATCTGTTTGGGTCCTTTGTGCATTTTGTAATTGGATTGTTTGTCTTCCTGGAATGGAGTTTTGTGATTTCTTTATACATTTTGGAGATCACACCCTTGTCTGAGGTATCATTGGCAAATATGTTTTCCCATATGGTTGGTTCCCTTTTCATTTTGCTGATGTTTTCTTTAGCCATGCAGAAGTGTTTTTATTTAGATGAAGCCCACTTGTTTATTCTTTCCTTTATGCCCCTTGCTCTAGGGGACTTATTGGTGAAAATACTGCTGCGTGGAATATCTGAGAATTTCCTGCCTATGTTCTCCTCTAGGACTTTTATGGTGTCGGCGACTTATATTTAAGTCTTTTACCCATCTTGAGTTTATTTTGTGTATGGTGTAAGTTGGTGGTCGAATTTCATTTTTTTGCATGTAGCTGTCCTTATCACCCAGCACCATTTGTTGAAGAGGCTGTTTTCACTCCATTTTAAGCTTCTACCCCCTTTGTCGAATATCAATTGACCATAGAGATATGGGTTTATTTCTTGGCTCTCTATTCTGGTCCATTGATCTATGTGCCTGTTCTTATGCCAGTACCAGACTGTTTTGATTACAGTGGCCTTGAGTAGATCAAAAAACTATGTTACTTTTAAAAAATGGAATTCTACACAGAAGGAGCGCCTACCCTTCTCGACAGCATGGATGGAACTGGAGAGCATTATGCTAAGTGAGATAAAGCCAGTCAGTGACAGATAAATACCATATGATCTCACCTATAAGTACAACCTAATCAACAAAACAAGCAAGCAAGCAAAATATAACCAGAGACATTGAATAAAGAACAAACTGACAATAAACAGAGGGCAGTGGGGACAGAGATAATGGAGGGGGAGAAGGTGGAAGGGTCGTCAAGGAACATGTATGAAGGACCCATGGACAAAGCCAAAGCGGGGTAGGATTGAGCGTAGGAGGTGTGGGTGGGTGGGACAGAGGAAAGTGGTTGCAGGAAAATGGAGAGAACTGTACTTGAACAACAAAAAAAGAGAAAAAAAAGAAAGAAAATGTGGGAGGTAAGCATAGGTAGAAACTAACTTTTGGTGAGGGTCAGAGTTAAAGAATCATTTATTTGAATACAGTCATGCTTTGCAAAACCACTAAGACAGGTTCTGAGAAGTGCATCTTTAGGCAACTTTGTTGTTGTGAAAACATCATACACAAACCTACAAGTACTAGTGTAGCCCGCTTCACACCTAGGCTAGATGGTACAGCCAGTTGCTCCTGTACTGCAGGTTTGTGCTGTAGTGAATACTGTCAGACATTTATTATCATTATCAAGTATTCTGTATTATATCATAATTGTGTTATAATTTTATATGAATGGCAGTGCAGTAGGTTTGTTTCCACCAGCGTCACCACAAAATTTCAGCTCCATTAAAATCTAATGAGATGACAGTGTATATGTGGGCTTGTATTGAGTAAGGTGTTACGTGGTGAATGACTGTACCTGCAAGTGCCAGGCTCTGTATTAACCTCTTTTTGTATTAACCTCGGGGATTCAAGGATTATATCCCAGATCTAAAAGAGTGGTTTTGAGTAATGTAATTTTGTATTATAACTGCAGTGCATTGTGTTTTTATTTAATTTTCTTGTGAATTTAAGAGATTTTCTGGCAAAATCAAGGAAAGGATCATGCGATAATTGTAAGTATGGTTGAATTGGGACTTGGAAAAATATTTTTTATGTTGAAAAATGTAACAATTGTAAAATAATAGGTGCAGTAAATACTAAATATAGAAAAGTATAGGAATTAACACATCAGATACTTAGTGCTGATAGACAGTATTTAGATTTGTTGACATTATTTGTAAACTTGTTTGAAAAAATGTTTTTAATCCATGAAATATAAGTTTTGGCATATCAGATTGTCAGATCTTTTAGTTTTTTATCAATAAAGGTTTGGGGTTCTAAATAAACAGCAACCACTCATCAATTTGAAGCCATTTTTGTCTCGTATGCATTGATCCATCTTGCTGTGTTGCCCTGTCCCAGAGATTTCATCATCTCACACTCAGTGTAATTATAGCTAGACTTGGGGGAAAAAAAGACTTTATATACATACATATGCATTTGTGAAAAATGTTATTTTTTTTTCTGAATGGTCCATGTGATGATTTTATAATATGCATATTTTGCAACATGACTTTTCACTACTCATGTTACCACATAATTAATGATTTGGTTTGTTTGTCCTAATTGCTATAGAGTAGTTTTCATGTTGATACAGATAATATGCATATATATATCAATATATAAATGTATCTGTGTGTGTGTGTGTGTATGCACACACTTGGCTTTTTCCTTTTAATTGCATTATAAATTCAAATGGTATGGAAATAGACCATGGTTTATTTTCATATTGCTCTATTGAAATTTTTAGATATTTCCTATTTTTGTCTTTATAAACAATGGGGAATTAGATGTCTTTATATTTATATCTAAGAGGGGTTTTTTTCCCCTTAAGAGTAGGTAACTAAATCCAGATTAAAAAATAATAGGGAATACAAATTATTAATTTTTTCTATATACTTCCAAATTTCTCTCCAAACTCTACAATTTATATTTTCCTATTATGTAACAGCTCTTGTTTCAACACCATTTTGGTGACTTTTATATTCAAAGTTCTCCAATTCTTTTTTCTTTCACTTAGAATCATAAGAAATGTATTTTTTCAGCTTGATTTTCATTTTTATTGATAAATGAAATTAAGCATTTTTCAAATGTTTTTGTTGCCTTTTCCCTGAATTTCCTGTCTATATTTGGAATCTTTTGTTTCCTATAGGGTTATGTGCCTTTTCTGATTCATATTTAGGAGACTAATATATTTTCCCCCCGGAAACAAAAACCCTTTGTCTTCTGTGTAGTGCAGCAAGACTTAACTGTGTCACCCTAAGTTCTACGAACTACAAGGATCTCAGTGCCTTTGTAGCCTGACCTTCATGACCCTCACCTCACTTATTAGACTAAGAATTTGATCTGTCCCTGAGCTTGAGAGAAAACATTATTTATGTTTCATTATGGTTTATTCACTTAGATTGAGGAAAATGTGCTTTAAAAGTTTGTGAAGTGAAAGCCATAGGCCAACAGTATGTTTAGTGTCAATACTAAGAATTAGACTTGTACGAATTTGCAGTGATTCTCAACTTCAGCTGCTTTTGAATCAATCCCCTATGGAGAATTTAATTAGACCAAGGCATTGGTATTTTTAAAAGCACACAATTTATAGTGATAGGCCTTGAGGTTTGAAATTCTCCTTTAAGGCACTATAATTCTTCTCCTCATTATGTGTTTTTCTAAACAGAATAGGACACATGAAGCTCTAGGAAAACACAGGTCTCTCGTCATTTTTATGGGTCTGTACTAGTGCATAGTGGAGTGCCTGCCACGTACAGCAGCCTTAATGATATGTTGAATGAACTGGTTATGCTTTTGTTATTGCATTGCCATCATTTTTTAATGCTCCCAACCAAAGGTTATATTCAGATGTTTAAATCTCCCTGCTTTGAAGTCTCATCTACTATGCGTGGATTTTCACCAGTTTTCACTTCCAAGTCTATGGTGGCAACTCCTTAGAACTCTCATGCCTTATCTCAGAAATAACCTGTGCTGAATCAATTTGCTATACCAAGCCAAGAACAATAAAGTGCTAAGGCTAATTGTATGGTCACTTGGCTTTTAGCTAAAGCTCAATAAAAATTTGTTAATTTGATTTAATTTATAAATCAAAGCATAGGAACTAAAATTAATAAATAAAACCTTTTCCATGCTTTCTTTTATCTTATTTTTAAGGCTGTTTCCACAGGAGCAGTGAGTAAGGCTATAAGAGAGATTTAGTTTTATTAGAATCTCATTTTTATAAGATATAAATTTTACCACAATTCTGTTAGAAAGCATTAAAGAGACTTGAAAGTTGTGATTTTCAGTGTAGACTGATACTTAAAACACGGTAGCCAATCACAAAATCTGAGATACTCTACCACTTAAAACATTTTCATACCAATTTTTTTAACCTGTTCAGTTTTTCTTTCATTTTTTCATTTATTTAGCTCTTACAGATGTTACCATTAAGTTAGAATGAGTGTAAGAGCATCTTACTTCAGAACTTTAGTGTCTCAATCTTAGTAATTCTGTCAATTGGAAAAAAGAAACTCATCAAAAAAAAAAAAAAAAAGAGATACTCATCTCTCTGAGAAAGAAAATACTCATCAAAAGTTGCAAGGAGGATTCCACAGTCAAATTTTTGGGGGCTTAAAACGTCCCTAAACATTTGTAAAAGGGGATGGGAATGAAGTCACGTATTTGAGACATAGTGATGTGTTTTTAACTGTCCATTTAAAAATGTATTTCATCTCTAAATGTTAAATGTTCCCATGTTGTAGTGATGATTATCTTAATTTTTTCCCCCTCTCTTTTGGTTTCAGGGGAAGAATTTGTCTCTTTTCCTCAGCATTAGTTTGTTAACTCTCTGGGGGACTTCCCTTTTGGGTGCCCGTCTGTACTGGATGGGAAACAAACCACCAAGCTTTTCCAACTCCGACAACCCGGCTGCTGATTCAGATAGCCTCCTGGCTCGCACGCTCACCTTCTTCTATTTGCCAACAAAGAACCTCTGGCTGTTGCTCTGCCCAGATACCCTCAGCTTTGATTGGTCCATGGATGCCGTGCCTCTGCTCAAAACAATTTGTGATTGGAGAAACCTACACACTGTGGCCTTCTATATTGGACTTCTCCTCCTCGCCTACTATGGTTTAAAGAGCTCAAGCATGGAAAGAGAATGCAATGGGAAATTTGTAACAAATGGCAGGCAAAATGCAAATGGACATAGCTGCCATTCAGATGTGGAGTACCGGAACTCAGAGATTAAGGCCAGTTTTGCACCCAAAGTAGAAAATGGTATTAAAAGTAATGTATCACAGACAACGCAACTTCCTTCTACGGAGAACATTGTTGTTCTGTCTTTATCTTTGTTAATAATACCCTTTGTTCCTGCCACGAACCTGTTTTTTTACGTCGGCTTTGTAATTGCAGAGCGAGTATTGTATATCCCTAGTATGGGCTTCTGCCTCCTCATTACCGTGGGTGCCAGAGCCCTTTATGTCAAAATCCAAAAGCGGTTTCTGAAGAGCTTGATTTTTTATGCTACGGCTACATTAATTGTTTTCTATGGACTCAAGACTGCAATCAGGAATGGAGACTGGCAGAATGAGGAAATGCTGTATAGGTCAGGGATAAAAGTAAACCCAGCTAAAGGTAATACTTTATTTTATGCTTTTGCCTAGACAGTTTACTCTTTCTGCCTTCTTTATCTTTGCTTCTTGCCTTAAAACACAGTATCAAGCATGAGGAGGTGCTTTTATGCAATACCCATATCTTTTTCTCTTACTGTTTTTTAAAGAGATGAGCAGTACACTTTAGAGATGTATCAGCATTCCTTATTTGGAACAGGGAAGTATTTTCCTATGTCCTTGGCTACATTTGTCCAGAGGAATTAGAACTCCTGTTATGTAAACATACTGACTATTATCAGAGGTTAGAAAAATGCTTGGTTTCCACATTTTCAAATACTGATATGGACATCATCTCTTTCATCATATAATAAAAGTCAGGTTAAAACACTTAAGTATACTTTAGCTCTTTTATTTTTTAAGCCTGAGGAAATACCACAAGAACTACATTGACGTATTTAAAAGATTTGGAGGTAAGTCTATTTTGAATCCTGCAGTTGTGTCTCTAGGTGTCAGTGTGTATGCGTGCAAGTGTGGGTCACCCTTAGCTTTGCAGATGCTTAATAATTGGGGTGTTGCCAGGTGGTTAGCACATTCTTATTTAAGAGTTATTAAGGCACTTGGGGAAATGAAGTTTTCACGGTACTGTGAGAAGATTGATTGTATTTATTATTATTATTTTTTGATTTAGAAAGTTATTTTAGCAAATCTCAGAAACTGTAGCCAGAGTAAAAAATAGTCTCCTTTAAACCATAAATAGTCAAAAGTTGTTACAATGGATTTCTCTAGTTTAGGCAATTAAATGGTGAAGGAAGCTTGAGAGCAATTGAATGAAAATAAGTTTATATTTTAAGTGCAGAAATATGTCATAGTAAATAGTGCTAAATAGTCTTGTTCTTCAAAAGCCATTTTTTAGTTATGTATTCTTTAATGCATGTTTGCTTGCATAACATTTGAACTGGTCTTTTTTAACTTTTCCCAATACAATTCTGTGCCAGGATTTAAATACCAAAAATACAAAACTATTTCAATTGCATGGAATGACTTGCTGCTCTCTATCAGGATCTATATCTAAAGATCTAGACCAGTGATTTTCTGCCTTTTTCATCTCATGGCACACATAAACTAATTACTAAAATTCTGCAGCATACCAAAAATTTTTTTTTGCTGATCTGACAAAAACAATAGGTATAATTTTGATTTATTCACATCAGGCAGCTATTGTTGTGTTGGCTGTTGTCATTTTTTTATTTGACAATCTCAGGGAAAAGAGGTCAGTGTCTCTGACTAAATAGTCAGGTATTATTGCATGTTTTAAAAATTCTTGTGGCATACCGGTTGAAACTCGCTGATCTAGACACACCATAAACAACTCTGACATCCTTATCTCATTACCAATTAAGTCAAGAATTCAGTGAGCATTTCTTTAAGCCAAGGAACTAATTGTTGGTACTTATGCTTAATAGACCGCAAGGATTTTAATGGGACTAGAAACTTTAAAATTGAGCTAGCGCATAGCATATTTTCGTGGAAAAATCTTCACCATGTGGCTTTTTTAGGTAGTGAGTGCTATACAGATTATTGAGTTCCTGAACCTAAATCTTGCTGTAAAAATTGTTGCAGTCAGCTCTCACAGGATGCTTTCTCGTTAGCCCCCCCTCCCCCGCTGGTAGATATAAGTATATAAAACAAGGCTGTGTTACCAGTTTACTTTCCTGCTGTTTAAAACAAGATACATACTAAGGAACCTCAGCACGTTATTTGTATCACAGGATTGTTCTGAGAATTTAATAAATACATTGGTTCGGTTTTAAGTTACTGTAGCAAAGAGCCATGATAACAGTGACTTCAATAAGATAGAAGCTTTATTCTTTCATGTAACAATCTAAGTATGTGCAGCCCAGTGCTGATAAGATGGCGCCATGGGTTTTCGGGATCCCGGCTCCTTCTCTTCTGTTCCTTTGCCATCTCAGCAGTGTCACCCTGTCCGTGTAGTTCAGAGTGGCTCATTATCACATCAGCACTTTAGCTAAAAGGACGAGGGAGAGAAAAGGCAAGTGGTGGGTATAACCATTCTCTTAAAGGGATTTCTCAGAAATTGTATGCCCCATGTTTGCTAACAGACTGTTGGCTACACCTCACTGCAAGGAAGGCAAGGCTGGGAAATGCTGTCTTTATTCTGGGAAGTCAAGTACCCAGCCAGATTTTATTGCTCTGAAAGAAGGGAGGGCCGGTGCTCAGATTAGCTAGAGTGTGCGTAACAGTCTCTGTCCTGGGCTTGGTGGAAGCATTTTGTAAACTTCTAGGTGTTTTCCTGCATTACCTACTATACTGTTATTGTTGACAGTTATGATTATGATTCTTATGAAGTTATTTTGGTGACATGGGTAAAATGTTTGATCATTTGTTCCTTTATCCATTCCCTCAGTGAAATAATTATTGAGCATTTCCTCAGCTTCCAGTATATTTTCATGTCTTCTTCCTAACAAGAAGTGCTATACTTTTTAGGCACTCCAAAATTATTAGTTAAATGAATACACAACTAATCAGTATTATAAGTCACTTGAGACATCAAAAATTGACTTGCTGAAGCCCTGTACTCCAGCTGCTTTACCTGAAGCCTTTGTTATCTCAGCTGATGGCAGCTCCATTTTCCCAGTGGCTCTGGGTGAAACTTGGGAGTCCTCCATACCTCTGCTATTTCTTTCATACCCTGTTTCCATTTCATTAGCAAATCATCTCTGCTGTCTACAAAAATGCATCCAGATCTTGACCCCTTTCTACCACCTCCACTGCTACCACCACACTGCTACCACCATGGCCCAAGCCACCTTTATCTTTCATTGGATTCTTGCTAAAAGTGTGTGATCTGATCTCCCTGCTTCTATCTTCTTATCTTGCTGCATGCTGTGTAATGTCTGGTTAAAAACGACATGATGGGTTGGGTAATAGGAACTGAGATAAATAGGCTTAGTGTGGTGTTTAATGTTAGCCTTTCTACGAGTTGGGCTGTGTTTAATGGTTACTGTAGTTACCTATGTTGGAGGCATCAGATTTTCCTGGTGTTCTTGTTCTTGCCTCCCCTGTTGTCTTCAGGCTTCACTAAGAACTGAGTCTATGTTTTGCATCTCTTTCCACTGGAATCCCCTGTCATTGCACTGGAGCCCTGCCGATATGGTGGTAAAATGGGAGTGAGGGTGTTGTATTGTTTTTTGGTTCAATTTTAGTGTCTCTGGGCTATGACCTTCCTAAGTGTTTATGAGTTTTCCCCGTCTCCCCTTGCAGTTGAGAGGGGAGGCCAGGGGGTCTGGCCTGAGAAGAATGGCCTTGGCCTGCAGCTCAAGGCTTTGGTGAGGTCTTTCTTCTGGAGAGCAGACCTGTGTTATGGAGAAAGATAAGGGCATACAGTAGTCCTCCCTTATCCTAGGTTTTGCTTTCCATGCTTTCAGTTGTCCACGGTCCACCTTGGTCTGAAAATATTATCTAGAAAACTCCTGCCTGGAACGTGAATCACCCCTCTTTCTACAGTATCCATGCTGTACATCAGGCCATGTTAATGAGAAAAAAAGTCCATTCCCAGCTGGACCACTGTCTGTGTGGAATTTGTGTGTTCTCCCCGAGTCTGTCTGCATTTTTCTCCGGATATACTTTGGTTTCTTCGCTGATAATAAGCAGAGAGAGAGAGACACCACACTCACAATTTTTATTACAATATATTGTGCTTAATTTATGAATTAAACTTTATCATAGATGTGTATGTGTAGGAAAAATATAGTGTATGCAGTCATGCATTACATAATGACATTTCCGTAAATGATGGATTTACATAGGGCAGTGATCTTAAAAGATTATATTAGAGCCAAACATTCCTGTTGCTAGTGAAGTAGTAGCTGTCCTTAAGTCCGAGTGCAAGACATCACTGTTAGCGGTGATGGCATATAAACAAACCCACTGCGCTGCCAGTCACATGAAAGTATCATCTAGGTTTGTGTTAAGTGCGCTGTATGATCTTCACACAAGACAAAATCGCCTAACGATGCATTTCTCCAAATGTATAATATCTGGTTGTTAAGTGACAAATGACTGTAGGGCTTGGTGCTGTCCTTGGTTTGAGGATCTACTGGGATCTTGGAACATAGCCGCCTGATTAGCGCAGACTCCTGTATTTCAAAAGCCTTATTTCTTCTTCCCCTCCCCGCACCAGAGCCAGGAGGACATCTTTCTTGGTTCTTCACAGTGAGAACCTGGTGGTATCCACAAAGGCAAAACCCATGAAAGAGGAGAAACCCCTAACTTTAATGTGACCCCATGAGTTTCTCACTCACATTTGGCCTCTGGCAACTTCTCAAAATTACAAGTTAATTGTTCCCATCAACTTCCTCCTCCAACAGCCTCTATTCCAGGGAATCACATCTCTGCTGTGACTCTGGATTTGCCTCTCTTCAGATTTTAGGGTGTGGTTTGCCCTGCAACCTCAGTTTACTGATACTTCCAAGAAAAGTTGTTGATGTTTTATTTGTTTAGCTTTTTTTTTGTTGTATGATGGGAATGATGACTTCTAACCTCTTTCCGTGTCTGAGCTGAACGCTGCTTCCATTTTTCATCCTTGGAGTCTACAGTTAACCAGCAGCCCTAAAGATCCCTTTGAAACACAAGCCAGTGTCAGGCACTGGTGGCCCCTCTTCTCCCCTGAGCCCTCATTTGTCTCAGAGTTAAAGCTCTCAGTCACGGACTGCACCCTGTATTTCTGTCGCTCCAGTCCTTGGCCCCTTTCATGTGCCTTCTATATGCATGGAAGCTCCTGCCTCAGAGCTTTAGCACTTGTCATTGATTCTTCCTAGAACGTGTCTCCTAGGATATTCTCACCTCTGTCTCTCTCTCCATCTTGAGGACTTGGGCCCAGTGTTGCATTATAAGTAAATTGCTGTTCGTAAAATCAGCTACTCTTCAAAAATCAGAATTGGAACTACCCCTCTGCCTCTGCCTTACCCAGTATTTCCCTATCCTCTTCTCATGCTTTGTTTT